AAATTCCATTCGAACATATTTGATTTTGAAATCATCTTCTAATATTTCCTCGGATCCATATCAACAGAAATTACATAAAAAAACAGAGCTTAATTCTGAAAAAAAAATCAAATCGGATGATAAATCAGTGAAAAATATTCGAATTTGGCGAAACGAACTTCGGATTCGGATTCAGGACGTCTAAAGCATAAAAATATGACTTTTTGAAAATTTAGAATTTTCGGTCAAAATCAAAGTCAACGGGTTTGACTGGCAATTTTGAAGCCTTCGGGTTGGATTTGGAACGTCGAAAAATGTCAGGATAGGTATACTCGGTCATGGTCAAAGGTCGTTTAATGCCCAGTCAAAGCCAGTCAAAGTTTTGGTAAACTGTGGTCAACGGGTCGGGTTGGAACCGGTCAAATTGGTTCAAAACATGTCAAACTGGTCATTTGGATCATCCCCACGCGTAGTGGCGGCGCGTGGGACCTCTTCCGGTAGCCTATAAATCACGGAAATTTTTTTAAAAATTATTTTGAATGATTTCGAGGTACTTACAAAGCTCGGTTCAAATTTTTGAACGGCGGAGAGCTCGATTTCAACAAATTGGAAAATTTGACCGCTTCACCTCCTCACGCACTGTCGTCGTCGGAGACCAAGGATGACACCGGCGAACTCGGAACGGAACAAGCAACAGTGCGGGAGGTGTCGTAAATGGATGATCGGATCGTCGTGAATCGACGAAAAACCAATTGAAATCGAGTTATTACGATGATACTTTCGGCTGAAATTAACGACGAACGACGACGATTCATGATAAAATGTTTGAGGGGTTTTGTTTCTCAGTCGACAACGAACACGATGGTGGTTTCTGTTCGTCGATCGGAGGTCGGACGGCGAGTAGATCGGAGTTGAAAGTTGGGTTGAGGGAGAAGAGAAAAACTGGAAATCTGCAGAAAAAAATACGGGAATGAGTGTTATAATTCATCCCAAAAGAAAAATGGGTAAACTATGAGTTTAGCCATTGAATTTCTATACTTCTTAAAACGGTCTTCCAACTTTAAAATTTTACAATTTAATCCCCTGTTTCTTTCAAAATACCAATTAAATACAGTACTTTATAATTTCTTAATTTTAGCCCCCTAACTTGGGGTGTTACAATTCTCCCCTCCTTAAAAGAATTTCGTCCTCGAAATTCATTCATATCATATTATTGCAGAAATAAAACTTCCATCAGTTCTTTCATATCTTCAAGTAGCTTTTACAAAAGTATGTGTCATTTATTAATCCTTAACCAGCTGAGTATACATTCTCATCAGAATTCTCCCTCAGTCCATGTAAATAATCAAAACAACTTTATCCTTGTGAAATCAATTCAGCATTGGTTACGTGAATAGACTCGTAGAGCAGCAGAATAACCTAATTTCATTTATGGAGTCAGGTCAACATTTCTCAGATGAATAACTCTCATATGGCTTGTGAGGTACTTTACATAGTTTAAACAGATGTTACTGGTATTCTTTTTTGTACAAGTATAGCCTTAACGGATAGAAACTTTGGTTTACTCGTTACAGATAGGGACTCAACCCTGGAGTTCCGGCTCAAAGAGGTACGATTGCAATCTAGGGACATGTATTGATCAGACATATTTTAACATTCAACCGGCCGGTCTATCTTGAAAAATTTTAACTCAAACCATAACTCGGTCAAGGTCAAATGTCGTTTAATGCCCGGTCAAAACCGGTCAAAGTTTTGGTCAACTGTGGTCAACGGGTTGGAACCGGTTAAATCAGTTCAAAACCAGTCAAAACGGACATTTGGACCATCCCCATGCGCAGTGGCGACGCGTGGGACCTCTTCCGGCAGCCTATAAATCACGGGAAAATTTCTAAAAGTTATTTTGAGTGATTTCGAGGTACTTACAAAGCTAGGTTCAAATTTTTGAACGGCGGAGAGCTCGATTTCAACAAATCGGAAACTTTGACCGTTTCACCTCCTCACGTGCCGTCGTCGTCGGAGACCAAGGTTGACACCGGCAAACTCAGAATGGAACAAGCAACACGATGGTGCGGGAGGCGTCGTAAACGGATGACCGGATCGTCGTGAATCGACGAAAAATCAATTGAAATCGAGTTATTACCAACGATTCTTTCGACTGAAATTAACAACGAATGACGACTATTCATGACGAAAGGTTTGAGGGGTTTTGTTCCTCGGTCGACAACGAACACGATGGTGGTTTCGGTTCGTCAATCAGAGGTCGGACGGCGAGTAGATCAGAGTTGAAAGTTGGGTTGAGAGAGAAGAGAAAAACTGGAAATCTGCAGAAAAACATACGGGAATGAGTGTTATAATTCATCCCAAAAGAAAAATGGGTAAACTATGAGTTTAACCACCGAATTTCCTATACTTCTTAAAACGGTCTGCCAACTTTGAAATTTTACAATTTAATCCTCGTTTCTTTCAAAATACCAATTAAATCTAATACTTTATAATTTCTTAATTTTAACCCCCTAATTTGGGGTGTTACACCAAGTCTGAGCATCATGGTCTATACTCTATACCAGTAAACCCCCCAGATCATAACACAGAATTCAACAACAATTGTAGGCTTTATTCCTCGATATTCTACTAGATAAGAATGCTTAATAAGAACCCAACCATGAATCTTTCCAATCTAAAATGGAAATAATAAAACTTGTCCTATGGGTAACGAACCATCATCTACAACTTAAAAACCCAAAATTTCAATGCTATCCTTCATACTTAGACATGTTCATAAAACTCAAACCATACTTGAACATCCTCATAAAATTGGAAATCATGAAACTTACCCTATGTGCAACTAAATTAATTGACTAATCTTGGTTTAAAAAAGCGTGCATCAGGCGCGCTTGATGTGATGCGGTCGTTGCGATGGTCAAAACACATCTAGCATTCTGATGCGGTAGGGGTACATAATGCGGTCTGATGCGATCCGATGCGGCTAATGCACTCTGATGTGGGCCGATGTGTTTAGTAAAATTTTGATGATAGTTTCTCGCAAGTCCACAAAAAAATAGTTACTTGTGTTATTATTCGAAATCAAGATGGTTAGATAATGGGTGCATGTAGGAGAACTCAACAAAGGGTTACCTTTTCGTTTTTCATTGAAGCCATGGCGGTTGTTCACGCAGTCATCTCTAAAGTCTCCTCTCCAAATGAAGATTTTTCAAAAGTCAGTGCTTTCATCTGGGAAGCACAAAAACGAGATTAATCTTTTTGATGCATGTGCGTTTCAATTTGTTCTGCGAAAGAGTAACCAGGCAGCTCACCTCCTGGATATGGACGGCGATCACGAACTCACAGATACTTATTGGATCGAGGAAGCCTCGCGATGAGTGGAAATCCAAGCAGATGAAGATCGAATGTACTTAGACCCTCCTTATATCTGATTCTTGGCATGGGTAGACGAAGGATGGAAGTATTGATTATTTTCTTCTCTACTTCTCTGAAGATCGCTCTCTTCATCATTTTTTACTTAGTTAATTCAGAGGAACTGAAAGGCATGCTAGTTTTTACTGATTTGTTTACTTTGTTTGGGTGTGTTTCACGAACCTGATGTTTCCTTTATTGCTAGCCAGCTGACTTGCACTTGTTTTAAGACATTGGCTTATTTTGTTTTAGTTTAATCAAAGCAGGCGTTTCCTTGGTCAAAAAAACAAACAAAAAAACAAAAAACTTCAATCCATCAATGTGCCCGTATAGTTTGAAAAGTTTCAAATTAGTTTTGTTTCTCTCTGACCCCAATAGTAACTTATCTTGTCCGGATAAAAGTATATACCAAACAGAGGTGTTAACCTAAAATGAATTTCAAAATTGGAAGTAAATTTTAATTCAAACTCCAAAATATTGAAAGATTATATTATAAACTCCAAAATATTGAAAAATGGTATTATAAACTTCAAAGTTAATTTTAGCTAAATGAAGGCCTCAATTGAGCGTAAAATTTTCATGAGGGTTTAATTGTTTTTTCTTTTACTGTAGGTTTTATTACAATTAAGTCTTAAAAATTTTTATACAAATTTTACTTTTATATACTTTTATAATCAGGAGCAAAATGATAACATATGTAAATATTAAGGGTTATGTTAAATTCAATCATTCATTGCAACGTCGAAAGGGAACCCCTGATCCTATTGCTTTGAATGATATTGATGAAAGTAATGAATGGTTGATGGGTAGAATGAAAAATGATGAAGATAAAAAAGATTTGGTGTTTCTTGATGATGATCTTACATGGGATGCGGTGGGTAGAACTTCTGGGGCTAATGAGTCAAGTCATTTCACTAGAGGAACAAGAAGAGGAGGTGATGATGGGGTCGGCCCATCAAGAAATGATAAAGGAAAAAGACTCGCTCTTGTTGATGAAGATGAGATGGAGTAAGACAATGGAGTGGCTAATGATGATGAGGGATACGGAGACGTGCTCGGGTTTGATGATGGGGATCTTGGAGATATTTAGTTTATGACTAGAGAAAGTTTGAAGAACTTTAGGGAAGGGAAGTGGGGGCTATTGTTGATTAGTCTTTTGATTATTTTGATTTTCCTACGCATACTTGTCTATTATGTTATTCAACATTTATAAAATACTATTAAACTACTTTTGATATTAATTAACATTTTTTGGTATTAATTGAATTTTTTTTGATATATAAGTATTTATAAGGTATAAAATAAATTCAAAACTATTTTTTTGTGCGCATCACGCATCGAAACACTAAAAGCATCAGAGCGCATCCCACATTTTAAAACCAAGTGACTAATGGAACATAGTAAGGAAAAAAAATGAAGAGCAACCAAAACTCAAAGCATGTTCTTGATATTGATAAGCTCAGGGTCAAATCTCTTCTACTAAAGAAAACCAAAAATCCCAAAACAACAATAAACTAAAAGTGAAATAAGGTTGACGAAAAAGAACTCAATTCCATCGCAAAAAAAAAAAAACCAAAATTAGAAAACACTAATCAAAGCTAGATCTCATGCCACTAAAAGTTCACTATTCTTCATTGGCAGACTCTCCGTTTTTCTTGTTGTGCTTCCTTGCATACCTCTGGTTCCTCAAGAACTTTGGATCCATCTATACATCATCGAGGAAAACCGCATGTTATTTAAAATAAATAAATCAAATTTACTAAAAAAAACCGATTAGAAGATCGAAAAAAAGGATACCCCTTTGGTGGAAGTGTGGCGATGCCTCTTGGGTTTCTTGATGCCATTCTTGTGAGCCTTGTAAGATTGGTTGTGAGCGGTGTGATTCTTTGACTTCGCCATCTCTGCCCACCCAAATCAAAAAATACCAACGAAAACAATCAATGTAAATATGATTTGTAAAATGAATTATCGTTTTCTACACAGAAAATGGATCCAAGTTAGTGGAACAAACCCGAGGCTAAGAAGAAGCTGCGGCTCCGAATAGGATTTTTTTTTTTTTGTGGAGGAAAGGAAGAAAAGAAGCTTTGGCCCTTTTATTTGGAGGAAGTTCGAAACCCTAATTATTCTATTGATGATGAAAATGCCCGTTTCGGACTTTTTCGAGAGTCGGCTTAAAGCCTTAAAACTCGCATATTGGGCTTAATATCGGATTGCCATAAGGTTCTGTGTTCAATAAATTCTAAAATTTATAGAATAATAAATTTATTAAATGATTTTAATGGTTAAATAATTTTTTTAAATGTTACCAATAATTAAATATTATAAATAAATAGTACCTTATAATTTTATAGAATGATTATTAAATATATTTATGTACAACGTATGAAATGGTGACTTATAATGATTTAGACTACATGCACGAACTTGAGGGAAAATATCTTAATTTATGTATTTTTTTTCGATTGTCATTTTACGTCTTTCTTTTTTATTTCTCTTATAATTCGTGTCTATCTTAAGGTCAATATATATAAATTTAGTAAGTGTTTTAGTCTAAGTCAGATATATTTAATTTATTGTTTTTGTTGATGATATATGGTAAGGCATTTATATTTTTGTCTGGTGTGAGTGACACACTTACAAATTTATTTTTCTCCAAATTTTATTAGTTTTGCTTTGTTTTATTTTAAGTAAAATCCGCTCTTCTCATTTGAAAAAAGACTTACATTTTTCATCTCATCATAGTAATGCATTCTAATTTATCGTCGATATAATCACTCTTCTGATCATGAAAATATTTATTTATTATATTTTAAATTTTAAAAGGATTTAATCTTTTTACAATATTTATATTCTCACATTCATATTTGATTTTTTTTTATATATTTTACTATTTTAATTATCATGTTCAAAATTCTAAATTCAAATACCTTACAGTGGATCAAACTTTGACCTCAAGATGAATCTCGTATAAAAGCCTTTTTTTTCCTCTAGGTTTCTAGTGTTGCTTGCTCCTTTTCGTAGTTTTTTTTCCCTAATTTCTCTCCTCATTCAACTTTGATTAGCGTTTTTATTGGTAATTTTTAATAGTTTGATCTGTTTTGTTGTTTATTTATTGATGTGATCATATATGTTCGTATTTCTCTCTATTCGAGTTTTTGATTGGATTTTTAAATTTTTCCTTACATAGTCTTTACTCTTTATATAATCTTAAATGATTAGTTTATTGTATTAATGATTATAAAAAATATCATAATTATATATTTAATATACGATTATGACTGTATATATTCTTTATAATTCTGGATATTTCATATTTTTTAATAAAACTAACAATTTATACAAATATTTTACTGGAAAAAATACACTATAGCTCCGACAAATGAGAACACGTGTTAATTACTATGATTTTTGGATAGGATAAAAGAGCATTTTCAAACCAGAAATTTTCTTCTATTAATTGATTAATTATGTTACACGAATAAAGTGATTTTAATCGTTAAAAGATTTGTTGTTATTTCGAGAGGTTTTAGATTTGAGCATTACATATGTCAGAATTATTGAGTGTTCACTGTCAAATGATTGAAAATCTTTAAACAAATATTACTTGTATACATACCAAATTTATAAAAAAAAAAGTACATCAAATTTCAGCCTAATAAAAGGACTAAAACAATAATTAGACCTAAAATTTAAATTATATAAAAAAACAGTAACATGATCAACAATAGAGGTGCAATAAATTAGTCGATAGATTGAGCTGTGTAATGCAATAATGTATGTAACTCATTTGTTAGCTGGAAAATAATATATTATATATATATATATTGTATTCTTTCACGTTCTCTTCAATTCATCACCTCTTAATTCTGACAAATCTTATACATCTATTTCTTATTTCCCCTTTAAAGATCCAAACTTTGGATCTGCCATTGCAATCAAGGAGAAGAAAAAGATCAAATAACGAGCCATGTTTTTCTTTGATTGGTTTTATGGGATTCTTGCATCTCTGGGTTTATGGCAAAAAGAAGCCAAGATTCTGTTTTTGGGACTTGACAATGCCGGCAAGACTACCCTCCTACACATGTTGAAAGATGAGGCAAACAAATTTTCCATTTTTTTTAATCTTTCAAAAAAAAAATCCATTTTTAATGGGATTTTTTTTGTTTTCTGGGTTTTTCTTTATTCAATCAATGGTGATCGGATATTGTAATTTTGCAGAGATTAGTTCAACATCAACCGACTCAGCACCCAACATCTGAGGAATTAAGTATAGACAAAATCAAGTTCAAAGCTTTCGATTTGGGTGGTCACCAAATCGCTCGCCGTGTCTGGAAAGATTACTATGCTAAGGTGATATTTTGTTTTGATTTATGAAAATGGTTTTTTGATTTTGTTAGATCTTCATTTTCTTCATGATTTATATTGATAAATTATGGGACTGAATCTGCCTTTTTTTTGTAGATTTGCAATCTATTGAATTTTTTTTATTAGAAAGAACAATTACAGATTTAGATTTGCTTCCTTTGTTTTTTCAGTTTTGGTTCTTCTGATCCCTGAATTTACACAGATTTCTGATTTTCTTGTGTTTTCTGATATGTTTAAATCATTTTCTAAGTAATCCATTTGGTTATATTTTGTGGCAAATTCTGCCTTTATAATCCCAAACAAGAGTTTCTTTTTTCAAAAGGAAAGAAATTATCCTTAGTTATACTCATTGTTTTCTAAAATCATGTTAATTATTGGACCTATTTTGTTTGATGACTCCTAGTGATAATCTAAGAGCTTATAATCATCTTGTTTTGCAAATTCCTTTCTCTTGGTTTCATTTCTTCTGCTGATTTTGCACTCTTTTACACCAGCTCTTTGTTTTGCTTTGAACTGATCATGTCTAGCTCAAATTCGGACCCTCAAGAGTATTTTGAAAATTTTAGAAAAATCGTAATTACATACATTGGGCTAGATCTGTCCATGGGTCGAATCGAGTCCTAGCAAGCATTATATGTGAAATGATGATGCTGAAGAATTGTACCTTAATGTGGCGAGCAGGTTGATGCAGTGGTATACTTGGTGGATGCCTACGACAAGGAAAGGTTTGCAGAGTCGAAGAGGGAATTAGATGCCCTACTTTCTGATGAGTCACTGGCCAATGTTCCTTTTCTAATTCTAGGCAACAAGATCGACATTCCCTATGCAGCTTCAGAGGACGAGCTTCGTTATCATCTTGGGCTCATCAATTTCACAACCGGCAAGGGTAGGGTCAATCTTACGAACTCCAGTGTTCGACCCCTTGAGGTTTTTATGTGTAGCATTGTTCGCAAAATGGGATATGGTGATGGCTTCAAGTGGGTCTCTCAATATATTAAGTAGAGATTGAAAGGATTTGTTGCTCTACATCTAGCTTCCTGCGCCTTTTTTTTTTTGCCTTGTTAGTGTACTGTTAAGCCGAAAACGATATTTTTTGGGTTATATGTGAAACTGGCATCTTGCTTTCTTCGATGGATACATTTATTCTAACCTGTTCAGGTTTGACTTGGTAGTTGTCAAGTTATGAACTATCTTGTGCGTTGAATCAAGTTTCGTATACACACACACATACATACAGGCTAGCTAACAAGCTTGTTTACCAAATGTTAACCTAATTCTAGAGAGTATTTATTTGTATCAACTAGATACGTACACCATATATGCTCCGGTTTCATGGAGAGTTACCGTACTTGAGATGTAGATTAATCTTAATGTTCTTATATACATACGGAACTACCACGTCTCTATGCTGTACTTTTCCTTGATCCTCTAGTTTCTACTTTCTTTGAGCTCCATATCGGAAAGAGGGCCGAGAAGGCTTTTGTATTCCAACTGCAAGATAAAACAAAATGTGGTTCGTAAATTGACGTACAAGATAGAGTCGTCTTCTTTCATGCAATTTCACATACCGTTGCTAGATCATGAGCCAACTTCATTCTCAGGTATTCTTGCTGTGCTTTCTTTGAACGGAACATAGATTGAACTCGTATAACAGCTTTCTCGACACGTTCTTCAGCTTGTTTTCGGCTGCTTTGGAAGTATGCTTCTTCTGTGAAACATTCCGACTTTTGCTCTTCAACTGCTTCGTCTGTGTTTACTTGTAGTCCACGAAAACCTTTTCTCCTTAGTCGCCATCGCAGAATCGCTTTTTCAAGTACACCGACTGACCATACAATCTTACGGTACTGCCTCCTCGCTTGGAAGCCCCGGAAAGCGGCCTGCATTTAATTTTTCATGCAATGTCAGTTGTGGAAGAATCTTTCCCATTCTAAGCAATCCTCAGTTCAGCAAACGGGAAGAAACAGAGAAATAATAGTGAAGTCACAATTTCTGAACTTTTGCCAACATGAGAAACTAACCATAAAAAAATGTATGTAACCCACGCAAACACAATCAGTAAGAAGAAAGGTGAGAGCATTTACTTGGATTTTGATAGCCTGGCGACGCTTATTAAGGAAATCTTTACGCATCTTCCAAGTACGGAACCGATACTGGATGCGACCAGCAGCAGACATTTTTCTTTTGGCATCATAGTTGCGAAAGGCATGTTGAATCTTCATAGCAGCAATTATACTTCTTGCTTCATCCTCTGCATTGCTAGACTCGACTGCTTTAGCTCGTACTTTGAAGGAATGCTCTCTAAAAGCAGTGTTTATACGTGCAGCAGCATCAGCCGCTGTCCTATAAGCTGCTAAAGTTTCCCTCAAATATAGTTCATCTTCGTTAAGGTTAATGAGGTTTGCTGCCTCTATTCTACTGGTTTGGAGAGAGCCACTAGCGTTCCCGGCTAGTGCCATATCATTGAAATGTACCACTAGAGCCTCTTCCGAAAGATAAGCAGCTAGTCCATCATAACCGTTCAAAGATGCAAGATCGGCAGCAGTGCAACCACCCGGATTTTGGGTGGTGGGGTCTGTCACCAAGTATGGTTTTGCCCCTGCAGACAAAAGAACAGCAACCATTTTTTCCCTGCAATGGAAGGTTTTCGAAATCAGATGAATATCTCAAAGCTGCTTGAAACAAATTACAGGAGAGCAATAAGATCATGTGCCGAGAATTCGTGACAGAAAAAAAAAGGAACAAAGAAATATGCAATCAACAACAGACAGCCTTACTGTCATTGGTTTGGACAAAAAGAAAACATGAAACATGATTTACAAGTCAGACAGCGATTTTAGAAAATTTAATAATTGCAGAGAACATATACCGGCCATAATATGCTGCCCAATGCAGAGCTGTCCATCCATTTTTATCACGAAAATCGAGCGACAAACCGGACCATGAAAATAGATAAATAGCCCAGGTATAACCAAGAATGGCACACAAATGAATCACTCCTTGACCTTGAGTATCATGTTCGGTTGTTTTACTGCCATCAATTATTCTTTCCAACAGCCAGTCCTTTAGCCTGGTCTTTAAAGCAATTTCAAATAAACTTCCTTTTGCTTGTGTAAATGAAGCTCTTTTTGCTTCAATTGACTGAATCAAATAAGTCCAGCTATTAGATATGTTGCTAGTCTTTTGATCAAACTTCCTAGCCTCCTTCACTGAAGTTGGTGACACTTTACTGGAGAGAATATTAAGGCTCTTGGAAGTTGAGAAGAGCAAATAAGCAAGCCTCATCTGCAACCGGAACTCCTCCCACCTGGACTCATCTTCTAGAGAAACTACTGGGTCATGCAATAAAGGAGCACGATACTCGAAACTAAGAACTTGGCTGATGGGTTTACGGCCATCGAGACTCATATACAGCTTCACAGATCCTGGGGCATGTTGTGATAACAAACAGCGATAAACCCCAACTTGAATAGTTTCTGCTGGGTAACATACATCACCGCATACACAAAACAAATTGGACTTAGCAAGATGTTGATAAGCTTGATGAAAGACTCCAGTGACTAAAATCTGCAAAAACAATAGGTAAATAAATGTCAAAACACATTAACACAACCAAAATTCATGCATGCTATTAAGGTGAATATTTTTCAAGCATCTATTCCATGAAAAGATACTAAAGGTTGCAGCAGCAACGGCAAAGGTTATTCCTAACAACCAGAAAACTGGGAGAGAGAGAGAGAACTTCAGATAAAAAAGAAAAACCTTTGTCTTTTCAGTTGAATAGGCCCATGCAGGTGATACTTCAGTTATGCTAAATATTTGCTCTCGCGAGGTGAATGAATCGTGACCAGATGAATTCGATGATTCTAACACAGGATCACCCATTGAACATGGTAATTCAGTCAAAGTGTTGTTTATCCACTTTCCAAAACTGTCCTGACTTTGTAAACCACCATTGACCAAAAGGTCCAATGGTTCAACTGTCCCTATGGCACCAGAGTCTTCACTCTGCACGTTAGAATTTACTTGGGCACCTGATATCTGATAATAAACAGCCCCTGGGTTGTTGAGGTAGGCATTGTTACTGTGAGCAACTGGCTCAGCCAAACTGTCAAGCAATGCTATATCTGTTGATGAATCATAGGCAGGGATGGGGCCACCCTGCAAAAGTGAAGCAACTTGAGTGGTTATTATTTATCAAGCATTAAGAGAGTAGTGCAAAATAAGAGAAAAAAGAAAGAATATTTAAGCGATCTTCACAATCAAGATAAATGATGACTTAAATGTCAAACTAAAATGAACATAAACATCCAAAAATAGTAGATGGATATGAAGAAACCGCAAGCAGATGCTTCCACACATGCAAAACTTATATATCTATGCAAGATAGCACATATATATGTCTATCGAAGTGTATCATATAATAAATATCATGGAGATCTAAGTTCAAAACTTGATCTGTTAACTCTCTGTCTTCCGCACAACTGACATGATTATTTTTGTACTACATGCATGCAGCAAATTATTTACTAAGATAAGATGAGATACAATAAACACCTTTAGCCTAAAAAGACGTATGAAGCTAGTTGTCAAAAGAATGAGAAAAATAAATAAAAATGATCTCTTCTTCAAGAGGAATCTAGAAATAAGAACTTAAGAGCTTTGAACTGGGTGTCTTACATCACATGAGAGGCCATTAACTGTTTTTTGGTTCCATTGGTCAAAGAAAGTAGAATTCTTGTCTGCCATCACAGCAAATTAAGTTAATAATTCAGTAATTAAACTAGGGGTCCTACTTTAACTATAAACTAGTCTGTTACCTCCAATAGGTACAGTTGAGCCGTTGGTATCATTTGTCGCCAGAAGCTCATCCCATTCAAGCGTATTAATCTCATGAAGAGTCGTTTCATGATTTGCTTTAATTCTCTCACTGGGATCTGTTCATTTTCCAGAACAACAATAGATGTGAAGATGATGAACATTGCAAGAAAGATATTCTGCTAGCGAGTTTTTCTTTTTAGCTAGTCAAATACAATTCTGTTATTGGTTTACATAGTTTAATTTCTAGAAAATTCAACTCACCTGCATAATATGCATTAGTAGCCCCAGAATCAAACTCCTCAGTAAGAAGCAAAGTAGTAGACTGATCAGTTAAACAGGAATTTGAATTCACAGGTGTGGCTGGAGAACCCTGCAACTTTACCGCAAATCAACAATTGTCAGTCAGGTCATTATCTGATTACGTGGCATAGAGAACATAAGAAACTGCTAATATTTGGAGACGGTGTCTCCAATTTTTCATTTTTAACACCAACCTCCTTTGTTTCACGATAGTGAACAAGAACTATGTTTTCCAGATTCCTGAAGCAAAAAAAATTAATAGAAGAACAGTCAATGATGATCAACATTAACAAACACAGCAACTTGAGATTATGAGAAAGAGTTTCATGATTCTTGTTTCATATCTAATAATGTAGAGACTACATACGCAAGGTTAACTTATAGACATAAATTGCATACTTATCAAGCAGCCAGTAACACCTCCGAACAAAAGTTGGATTATCGTGGCCATGTGCATAGTATACATGAATCCTTTCTTCATCACCAACCTGAAAAATGAAATATCAATGATCCATGCTTTCTCAAAATAATTACATGTTGACCACTCAAAATCATGCAGATAAAATGCAAGAATTTAAGGAGCAAAGAGAACACCATATGCAGCAACCCGAAGAATCTATACAAATGAAACTAATTCTCTAAACCACAAAAATATGAGATAAGACAATTTAAAACATAAGAAAATCTTAATGCACAAAGAGAACACCGTATGCATGAGTAAAGTGTATGGAAACAGTGAAGTCTTACAATATTTGCCATAACACCTAATGCATACGTACAAATATATATAATACAAACAAATGATGTATGGAAAAATAGGAAAATTACAGAAACCAAGAATTTGATCTAAGAAAAATTCCAGAAAAATGCATTATTCACTTAGGTATAAAAATAAGCTGCACAGATAACAGGTTGTGCCATTTATAAGACCTTATAAAGCAAGAAACTCTCACTTTTAAGTGTTCGTGAGCTTCTTTAACAGTCTTTCCATCCTTTTTCTTTTTCCAGTTATGACCATCTTTTCTGAAGTTTCTGAGCATCTTTCGGTCAAACAATACTATAGTACCACCTACAAAATCAAAGATACAATTAGTAACTCTATAGGTATATTTTTCTTATTAATTACTTTGAAGTATAAAAGGCATAAAGATCATTTGAAAGCAAAGTGAAAATTTCCTAAAGCCATAAGTAATGAAACTTAAGACATTCTCTTGCAACATGTTGAACTTTGGAAATCAAAACGAAATACTTCATCCAGTTGAACAAATAAGTGTTCATTTGGTTGATACATTTTACATTTTGATATTTTTATGCAACTTTTTTTGCTCCCAAACAAAAGGTATAGAAACCCAAATTTTATCTCAAACAGTCATTAATTCTTATTATAAACTTAGCAGAGCTTAAAGAATGGAAAAACTCTGGTATTTAATTCTTTAACAATATTAAACATGGAATAGATTCTTGCTTCATGAAAATCTATGAAAACAAGAAAAATGGGGGAAAGAAAAGAAACTAAGTATCATGAGCAGTTACTTTTGGGCAAGTTCACCGGCTTCACATGGATCGTGAAGTATTTGTGGTTGGAAAGTATAGCATGAATTTCATTTGGACGTAACCATCTTGACTTTGCTTCTTCAAACATAGTTTGAACATCCAAATCTGTCCAATAGAAATTAAAATTAGCAAAAGAGAGATACAAACACACAAGTGTCATATACATGAAGTGTGATGTTAAACTAATTACTTGAACAAAAATAACACTTGATCAAGCTAAAACTAACTCCACAAAAACAGTTTATACGAATTATTTTATGTGAATTTGATATTTTTCTAGAAACAAAATAAACTACACATCTAGCTCTCAAAGAGCAAAAACTTGCTCTTACAGAACTTCAGTTCTGCAACACCTAAGAACCAAAATGTAAGAAATTACTAACAAAAAAGCTAATAATAAAGAATCATTGGCAGTTTAAAAGTGATCAAACAAATTTACAACGTCAAATTCTAACATATTTTACAAAACGATTCCTAGAGTGCGAGAAATAAATCAGGAAATTACCAAAACATACTGAGATAAAAGAGAAGATAGATTCCCCTGTACAATACCTTTCATTGTATGGAATCCATGAATCTCGGTGCCGGCGAGTCGCCCCAAATCTCCACCATCCATTGCCGGAATTCGAGTAGGAGAGAATTTTCGATTTAATTTTGAACACTGATAAAAAAAAGCGTTTGACTAAACGCATAAAAACAAAATTATCAGAATAAAATAAAAAAGAAATTAAAAAACAGCTAAGCCTTAAAACCTAACAAAACCTTTTTCAAAGCGAAGGCTGTTCTTCGAGCTTGGAAGATGTAGAGAGAAATGAAGACGACGATGGAGATGAGATTATAAAAGAAGATGGAACAGTCTTCCTAGTTTTGGTGTTTAAATAAATAATTGGGAGCTTTAATCATTCAATTATCTATTACTTTATTATTTCTCAACAGCAACTCCTCCTTGTCAAAAAAGAAATAGTTATTTTGAAAGGAAAGTGGCTTTTCTAAATTTATGTGGACGACATGGCAGTCAGGTTGGTCGATCAATTGCCGTCAGAACCTACGTCTTTTATTTCAAAGCGGAGCCCACTCGTAAGTCGTAACAACGAGTGGTACTGCAGTCTTCCATTTTCTCCTTTTTTTAGGTATAATTCATAATGAGCCCAGTTATTACTTTTGTTCTATTTTTTATCATTCAACTATTTTTTAAAAGAAATCAACACTGACGTTACGTTTTTGGTTTAGTTTTGGTCACTAGTCATTAAAAATTTAATGATGATGATGGCATGACATCATAAAGTAATGTCATGTCATCATTGAAAAATAAAAAATATCACATTAATAGTTTTATTAATTTTTTTACGACGGGTGAGTAATATGAAACCAAAATATAACATTAGTGATGATAAAAAAATAATTTTGTGACATAAACAAAATAAAAGTATAATTAAGTAACTAAATATGTAATTTATCCTTTTTGAGCATTTCAAACCCTAACACTTTAATTTTGTCACAATAGCTTTTGTTGGATTAAAATCGTTTGCTTACTAATCAATCAATATCTGGTGTTTACGTGACATTTCCCTGCATGCTCAATTGATAATGTGACACATATTATATCATCACGTTGGATGGTATGACACTTCATGTAACCCAATTAAGTACATGGGAAAATTAAAACGTTTTGGTTAAAATGTTCCCAAAAATAGAGACCAAATTGATTATTTAATCAAAATGGGATTTATTTTGTTATTTTACCTTTTTTAATAAAAGTATTTAACAAAGCAAATTTAATTTAATAATTTTACTTTATAAAAGCATAATTAAAAACACATTTGAGAAATGAAGAAATGAAGCAATGTCGGCTAGCTACGAGTCCTCCGCTAATGTGAATGGGAACATGGTACAGAGGCAACGTTTACTTTCTATATTTCATGTTTGGTCCAGTAATTTATTCTCGAAAATCCAACAAGTGTCCGACTTCAATTATGAGGGCAGCCACAAATAATTTTATTTTTCAATAATTATAATTATAATGATATTAATATAAATCATAATTGGATATTTAAACACTATCTAACAATTAAGGTGCAAAAGAAGGTCAGTTATGAGCTAGTTTTAAGTGTCGAGATTAGGTTTAAATTGCGATGCTAGTTGTATTATGTTTATTGTAATTGCGACAATAACATATTGTATCGTAATTATAAAATAATAATTTTAGATGATATATTTATTGTTATATAACGATTGTTATTTTAATAATATACCGTTATTCAAAACACTAGTCAAAATTATCAAGAAAAAAGTGTATTATATCGTATTTTGAATCATTACAACTAATTTTGCTAGTCGATTTCCTCTCTCGAAACACGTGAATCATTTTCACCCTCCTTTGAATTCAAAAATATTTTTGAAGGTCCATACATCTGCATTAATAATATAAATTTTTCGTATGTGGTGAATATACATAAAATTTTGGAAGTGGACACAATCAATAAAATAAGTAACTAACTGAAAAAATTCGAATTTCAATAGATAGAGAGTTGGATCCGCCACTGCTTGACAAAAACCTATAATACACCCCATGGTTCTCCTTCCAATATGTTATATCGTATAGTGCCGGTTCAATTTTTAACATTTGTGTTGATTTTTTATATTTTTCCCCTCACTCAAAACTTGTGTGTTGTAAAGTGTATTGGATTAATTAATTTTACAACGATGTTACAGTCGATTGGCCGTCCATACTTGATATGTCCCAACTTGATTGAAAAAGGTTATGAAATGTATGTGAGGTTGAGAGAAAAGAACCAAGCCATGACATAGAGTACTTCTCAGATATCAAACTGTAACCCCTACACCCGACTTATGCGTTTCGGCTAAATCTAGCGGATTACATTAAAGATTTTGAAAGGTATTTTCCCAAAAACCTTATTCAATAATTTAAAATCATATCACAAATGACCTTTATACAAAAGTATATAATAATTAACTATACAAACTAAATTCGTAAATATAAAACATGAAAGCGACCAGATAAAATATTACATGAAATAAATCTGGAGCATCGAAAATCAAATATCTGTAACAAAAGCATAATTCGTCATAAAATGATAAATATTTCAAAAATAAGGTACATGTCACCATAATTAAAAACAGTTCAGAATACAGAATATTACAACAAAATACTCTGAACTAAATGTACCAATCCTCCAAGTGCCTGATATAGAGTGTATAATCCGAGAGTATCTGAAAGGGGTAAAACAGTTTGAAAAGTGAGTTAAATGCTCAGTGTGTCCCAACAGTGCAGAAATAATAATAAAAACATACAGTTGTGATTTTTAAAACCAGTACAAATTACAATCATCATATGAGTTTTTAATTTTAAAAAACTCTGCATCGTCCTCCAACCGAACGCCATGTGCAGATCCCCAGAACTGCACAACCTAAGGGGGTAACTCGGGGCCTGCGAGCCTACCCAAAACAACTCCTGGGGCCACAAAGGCTTACCCAAGAATATCTCAGGGCCGCAGAGCCTACCCAAGGCTCGACTTAGGTCCATAAGAAATTACCAATCGATGTTGAACCTGTCAGAGGAATTACCAACAACGACTGAACCTGCCAGAGTCTTCATACCAGAACCCAAATTACCCCGAAAAAAACATTTTTCAGATGGTAACCAGTATTAACAGAAATTCAGAGTTCAGACAGGTCATCAGTTCAGTAAACCGGTATCCAGAAATCATAAATCGAGCAATCATGCTTTACATTTCAGTAAATTCAGAATCAGGTAAATCATTCAGTAGTCAAATCAGATCAAACATTATATTTCAAATCAGAGAAAACAATCATGTGCACATGAGATTTCAAACAGATATTTAAAACATTTATTATGCACATAAGGAACACACCTCAATAATAGGGTCAGTCCGAAAGATCTATCGAGCACCAGCTTCACTAGGCTCTTCGACTGAACGAGAACCTAATCCATATCATAACAGGGTTATATTCGGAATAATATTCTAAACAAAATAACTAACAGGGTTTCAGAACTATACGAGTATTCACGGCTTCTCGTGGACGAGCGGATCGGGAGGAACCAGGTCAAGCAGTGAAACATTCAGGAGATCTCCGAGTACCTTTAACATAACTATAATTAGTCCTTGACCATTCAGTTCAATTAACTAAATTAAAATACTTAGATAAATATGATTTTTTTCAGGTTTACGGGCTAATTAGGAGGCTTTCAGTTTTGAATTTTGTAAAACGGACTTCGGATTCGGACTCAGGGCGTCGAAAAATGTCAAAATAGGTATATCCGGACAAAATAAACGGTTGTTTACTAACCGGTCAACGCCGGTCAAAGTTCTGGTCAACGGTGCTCACAATCAACAGTCAACTTTTACAAAAATAGCACCTTAACAGAAACTAATTACGAAACTAACACCCTTTTAAAAATACTTACAAAACTAACACCCTTTTAAAAATATTTATGAAACTAACGCCTTTTAAAATATTTACGAAAATAACACCCTTTTAAAAATATTTACAAAAATATCACTCGAGTTTTTTACATATTTCACTAGTCATGTCAACGGATCGGGTCAACAGTCGAGTCAAGTCAACGTTTGGTTACTCTTTGAGCTACAACAATCAAAACCAACACCAACTATAACATGATTTCAAGCTAAAACACTGAAATATTATCGAAATTAAATGATTTGACTTTACCTACAGCGGACAGACGAAATGTCAATTTCAACTCAACCCACATACTGAGTTTTGATCAGAAAGCTACTAGGAGTCTGAAATCGAGGCGATGAAAACGGTCGTTGAAATGGCCAGAATCGACAAAATTAAAATGACAATCGGGGTTTTGAGTGTCTATTTCCCTTCTTGATTCGGCCTAACTGTGACCGATTTCGGAGCGAGGTTGGTCGGGGTCGCTTCACGGAGGCCAGGCGCACCTGATGGAGGTGGTTGTGACGTGCACCGCCGACCGGAGTAAGGAGGAAGAGGGGCGACAACTAGCTTAAATGAGGGAAAACTGAATTAAAACACGATGAGGGGTTATGCTATAACATGGGTAATCACCCAACAATTAATAATAAATCCACCATTTAATTTTTTTTTAATAAAAAACAACAAATGGCATAGTTATTAAGTCATTGTCTGCCACTTCATTTTTTTTAATTCTTAGTGCTATTATTTTATTTATAGTGCTATAAGATATATTTATTTTTATATAATTTTGTTTTTTGTGTGGCATTTTATGGGGCAGAGTGTTACACAACAGTACATTTGACAGACAGTCAATAAGAAACCAACGTATCATGCATGTATTGACACAGGTGATTGATCGCAAATGAAATATCCGACCGAGTAAGACTCAAGTATTAAAGAAGATCAAATAAGCGATGATAATTAAAACCATCAATCACAGAAGTTAAATAATGTGAATGTAACTTATTCGTAGATAGGTCATATAAGTTAGATAAGGTGAATGTAACTTATTCGTAGATGGAGATGGGTATGAGACTCGATATATTTTGACCCAATTTTATTGAGTTAGTTTTTTTTTTTTAAAAAAATCTGGTTCGAGTTAGGGTTGAGTTCGAGTTTAGGCAAAAATATTCAACCTGATCCGACATAAACAAAATATAATTATACTTTATATATTTAGGGATAATTTTAATAATATCTCTATCTATATTATTTTTCAATTAGGTGTTTATTTTATCGAATAAAGTAATTTTTTTATAAATACATTTATTTTAGAGCAGGTTGGGTTTGAGTTTTCTCTCAAAAGGTTGATCGAATTTTGAGTCGAGTAAAGTTACCTTAAATATGGGTCAAATCAGATTTTGGGTGGGATATGTATAATTTTTATGTCAGAATGACCGAAAACCAGACTCAACCCAAACTATCCCATCTGGAAAGTGCATACGATTGAAATATATTTTACCCCATTTACTTAAAATTGAGCAAAAATCTAAAATGTATTATGTCAGAGATAGAAACAATCTAGACAAGTAGAAATAGCTTAAATGACGATGAAGTGGCTAAGAAGACCTAGATCTATCAGAGAAAATTGTTTAGACAATAAAGAGATAAATTGATAAACTTAGTTAGTGTGATTACTCGTAAAGATAATGTCATCCACATACACCAAGAAATATATAGAAATGTCTTTAGCATAAATAGACAGAGAAGTATCTACCTTAGATTCGAGGAAGCCAATTTATATATAAAAAAATATTGAGCTTTGCGAAAGCAACAAACATACGAAGGATGATTAGGATCATGTATTTTAGAGGTTGCTCTCAAAGACCAATTCATGTAAAGTAAAAGTTAAAATAATATGTACCGTAACTAATTTCATAACAAGACTGAAAGTTTCAAAGTAGTCTCAACGAACCTCTTAGAAGCAATTATCCGTTTAAATGGAACCAATTGGATTCTACTTTACCTGAAACACTCATTTGCATCCAACCATGGGAGCTAAGAGGTGAGTTTTGGTGACATTGAAACATGACGAACCAAAGTATTTGGGATTGGGATGATGAATATGCTCTAGCTGGTACGATAAGATAAAGGAGAGGAAGGTGTTGCTTTGATCCAAGACGAGTTAGCTGGAGGTGAAAACTCAAAAGGAGACAATAAATTGATCGACTCGAATGTAGGATTTTCATGTGGCACCCCAAATTCGTCTGAGATGGTCTTATTTAAATTTGAAACAATACATTAATCACTAAAATGACTCAAAATAAATTCTAACCTATTTTCATGCATCCATTTCTTTAAAAAAAATAAAAATTAAAGTCGCATACAAACATCAACATAACATATTAATTAGGCGCCATTGCAAAGAATCATGCTTAAAAAGACCATCAATTTGACCCATTTTTTATAAGGATAAAAATCTTATTTTACCCATCGATTTTGTAATCTATTTAAAAACTTTAATTTTATCTTATCAATAGGTTCATACATATTTAAAATAGTATTTTCGAAATTTTTAGTTAAAGCGAAGTTGAAATTTTAAGTAATTAGCCATAACAAACTAATTTAGGATTAAATTGAAAACTCTTAATACTTTTCATTTGTAATTAAAAATCTTAATTCTTTTAATTCGATTATGAAATTAAAGTCAATATAAGTATATGGTTCAAATTTCAAAATCATTAGAGTTGAAAAACCTTTAACTGCACTTTTAAAATTTTAAGACAAAATTGTAAAGAAGTCGAAACCTAATTTAAACCCAATTCAAGCAGCAAAATCCAGAACGTTGATTTAATACGATAATTTACAATTGGTATTAATATTACCCCTTAATTATCAATACTCATGACTCAATATTGATACAGTATTGATACCCATTCATGTAATATTGATACTAGAAGCTACAAATACAATTTTTTTTCATATTTTAATGGCAAAAATCAGCCTCAAATATTCACCAAACATCCAAATCATGCTCCTAACATAATATCAACACATCAAACACATAAAGATACTCTTGCATGTTGAATTTGGAAACCAAAAACACCTTAAATAAAACTTTAGACCCTATGTTTCATTTTAGACCATTTTTCATACATGTTATACACTACCACCATTTCATGCATTTTTGGTCACTACACTATTCCAACAAGTCACAACACCCTTATTTATAGTACTAAGAAGGCTCATAACATCAAGACCACATAAATTCACTATTTAGCATATTAAGTCTCAAACATGCTTGTCAACTAACTTAAACATGCATCATACTACGTCCAAAACCAAAGTCCAAAAGTCCCAGATTCCATAAATATCATAAAGTTCTAGAAAATAAGGACCTATTAAATTTCTTGAAACAAGTGCTGCTTGAGATCACCACTTGCACTTCCCCTCACACCTTAAAGCCAGCAACTAATCTCATGAAGAGTCATTTCGTGATTTGCCTTAATGTTCTCACTGAGATCTGTTCATTTTCCAGAACAGCAATAGATGAGAAGACAATGCATTTATAAGCAGAAAAAAACATTACAAGAAAGATACGCTGTTAGCGAGTTTTTCTTTTTTGCTAGATAAATATAATTCCGTTATTGATTCACATAATTTAATTTCTAGAAAATTCATCTCACCTTCATTATATGCATCAGTAGCACCAGAATCAAACTACAGTGTAAGAAGCAAAAGAGTAGACTGATCAGTTACACAGGCATTTGAATTCACAGGTGTGGCTGGAGAACCCTGCAACTTTAACGTAAATCAACAATGGTCAGTCAGGTCATTATCTGATTACGTGCCATAGAGAACATAACAAACTGCTAATATTCGGAGAAAGTGTCTCCAATTTTTCATTTTTAACACCAACCTCCTCTGTTTCACGATAGTGAACAAGAACTATGTTTTCCAGAGTCCTGAAGCAAATAATAGAAGATCAGGCCAATGATGATCAACAATAACACACATAGCAGCTTGAGATAAAGAGAAAGAGTTTCATGATTTTTGTTTCATATCTTGAGGTCGTGGGATCGAGTCCCATGGAGGGCATTTCATAATTTGGAGGTCTCCTACGGAAGCTGCTCTCAACCTAGTGTTGGGGGCAGCCTACTATCTTACCTCCCCCTTACCCCATTACATATGGAAACAAGGGACAACCAACCATCTAATAATGTAGAGACTATATAGGTGAGGTTAACTTATAGACAAAAATTACATACTTATCCAGCAGCCAGTAACACCTCCGAACAAAAGTTGGATTATCATGGCCACGTGCATAATATACATGAATCCTTCCTTCATTAAAAACCTGGAAAATGAAATATCAATGATCCATGCTTTCTCAAAATAATTACATGTTGACCAGTCAAAATCAAGGGAGATAAAATGCTAGCATTTAAGGAGAGAGGATTAAGTTTAAATTTAAATTTAAGAAAAGAAAAGGAATAAGCAAGTCAACACATAGATGCAGCAACCCGATGATTCTATACAAATGGAACTAATTCTCTAAACCACGAAAAATATGAGATAAGACAATTTAAAACATAAGAAACTCTTAATGCACAAAGAGAACAGCGTATGCATGAGGAAAGTGCATGGAAAGAGTGGAATCTTACAACATATGCCATAACACGTTGTGCATATATGTACAAAAAATATATAATACAAACAAATTGTGTATGAAATAATAGGACAATTACAGAAACCAAGAATTTGATCTTAAAAAATACCAGAAAAATGCATTATTCACTTAGGTATAATAAGCTGTATAGATAACAGGTTGTGCCATTTATAAGAACTTATAAAGAAAGGAATTCTCACTTTTAAGTGTTCATGAGCTTCTTTAACAGTCTTTCCATCCTTTTTCTTTTTCCAGTTATGACCATCTTTTCTGAAGTTTCTGAGCTTCTTTCAGTCAAACAACACTATAGTACCACCTACAAAATCAAAGATACAATTAGTCATTCTATAGGCAGATTTTTTCTTATTAATTACTTTTAAGCATAAAAGGTATAAAGGTCATCTGAAAGAAAAGTTAAAATTTCCTAAAGCCATACGTAATGAAACTTAAGACATTCCCTTGCAACATGGTGAACTTCGGAAATCAAAACGAAATACTGCATCAAGTTGAACATAAGTGCCATGTACATGAAGTATGATATTAACCTAATTACTTTTAAAAATAACACTTCGTCAAGCTAAATCTAACTCTACAAAACCGTTTATGCAAATTATTTTGTGTGAATTGATATTTTTCTTGAGACAATAAACTAGACATCTAAATCTCAAAGATCAAAAACTTGCAACTGCAAACTTCAATTCTGCAATATCGAATAACTAAAAAGTAAGAAATTACTCACAAAAAAGCTAATAATCAAGAATCCTTGGCAGTTTAAAAGTGATCAAACAAGTTTACAACGTCAAGTCCTATTATATTTTACAAAACGATTCCTAGAATGAGAGAAATTATATCAGGAAATTCCTAAAACCTAATGAGATAAAAGAGAAGATAGATTCCTCTGTACGTTACCTTCCAATGTATGAAATCCATGAATGTCGGTTCCGGCGAGTCGCTCCGAACCGCCACTATACATCGCCGAAATCCGAATTGGAGAGAAATTTCGATTAAAATTTGAAAGCTGATGAAAAAAGAAAGAAAGAAAGCGTTTGACTAAACGCATAAAAACGAAATTATCAGAATAAAATAAAAATAAATTGAAAAACAGCGGAGCCTCAAAGCCCAACAAAAACTTAGAGCTTGGAAAATGTTAAAAAAGAAGCGAAGACGATGATGATGAGATTACAAAAGATGGAATAGCCTTCCTACTTTTGGTATTATAATAAATCATAAACTTCTAAATTATTACTTTTATTTCATTTCGGTATCTAAACTTTATTTATTTTTAAAATTATACGTAATATTTAGTTTAGGTATGATTTTGATACCTTACCATTAAAAACTTATTGTAATTGTTGTATTTGACATTTTTATGGATAATTACGACATTCATTATTCAACTATATTCTCACTTTTATTTTGATCATTAAAGTTTTACAAAAATAATTTAATTATTTAACTTTCAAATTATTCTTGTTTTATTCACTCTAATTTATTTTATTAATATTTTTTGTAACATGGCATTTTCATTTTTATTCTATTAATATATAATTTAAAAATAAATTTAAAATTATACTCCCAAAAAATTATATCACAACTCCTAAATCACAAGCCCCTCATTTATTAATAAAATAAGTTAAAGTGATTAAAAATAAGAGTAATTTAAAAGTTAAATGATTAAATTAAAAAATAATCTTCAGTGACCAAAGAAATAGTGAGAAGATAAATGAGTGATGAATTGTGCAATTTGTATATAAAAATGTCACACAGTTGGTTAAGTTTTTAACGGTTGATACTAAATGAAACTTAAACGAAACGTTGAGTATAGTTTTGAAAAAACATAAAGTTTATATATTAAATGTAACAAAAAGTAATAATTTAGATACCACGTGTAGTTTACCCTACATAAATAAGTGGGTTATTCTCGCGGGAAATTTTACCCATATCATCTTATTTTATATCCAAACATATTTATTTATTTTTTAAATAAAACTTAGGATAAAGTATACAAATGTTCTATTAACTATTAAAAATTATAAAATGATCATCTAATTATAAGAAGCTGTTTTGTTGAATCCCTAAACTATTAAAAATTACGAAATGATCACCTAACTATTCATTATATTCCAAACTCATCATTTTATGTTAAAAATTAATGATTTTCTGAGCTTGACGTTAACATGTTGACTGAGATATAATCGTCTGAACTTTTTTTTACACTCAATGTGATCCTCAAAATGATTTTTTAATAATTTAATTTTGTAGTATTTTTATATTTAATTTATTGAATATCTCGATAACTTTTTTATATTTTATAATTTAAATAATTTCTTATTTTTCTAAAAAAATTAAATAAGTCCTCAAACTTTCTAAATAAATTAATTAGGCCATTGAACTTAGTTAAAAATGAATTAAACTCATCTACTACATCATCATACATCATGTACTATCACAATAACATTGTAGATTTCTATGTAAGTGTTGTGACAATCAACATTTGATTTCATTGGTCAAAGGATTAGATTAATTTTTTCTCAGTTTAAGTATTAGATTGAATGAGAAAAAAGTTAAGATGCTACATTATTTTTTTCAAAAGTTTGAGGGCCTCAAATACCACTAAACATGTTTTTAATTTTAATGACACTTTTGTTTGTTATTGCTCGCAACAATTTTTTTGTATTTTTAAATTTAATTGATGTCCAAAATGTATTAATATTATGTTCTTATTATAAACTAGAATATTTTTTGAGGTATGCCCTGACCTTAAATTGAGAGTCATCTCTGACCTAAACTTTAATGTACAAAAAATAATAATTTTTGTGTTATACTTTTTTATTAATTTTATTATTGTTATATTTACTTAATTTACATGTTAAATTTATGTAATTAAAATTTTTAATAATTTTATTTTAATAATTTACATGTTATATTTGCAAAATTGAACATGGGCAGTAGCCGTCATTCATCAACCCAGAAAATGACCCTTCCGCTATGGTGTTATAAACTCACTTTCACTCTTAATTAATACAAACCCCAGTGTTGATTTCTCCACTACATCAAAAACAACCCTACTGTCCCTCTCGCAATGGAGTGCAAATGGCTTCTTTTTTAGTCAATGGCGGTGCTGCTGGCACTGGGGAACTGCCAGGAATCCGTGAAGCCATTGGTGAAGATGGTTAAGGGCAAGAAATTGTGCGACAAAGGGTGGGAGTGTAAAGGGTGGTCTAAGTACTGTTGCAATCACACCATTTCTGATTATTTCCAGACTTACCAATTTGAGAACCTTTTTGCAAAGCGTAACACATCCGTGACTCATGCGGTTGGGTTCTAATTTACCGTTCTTTCATTACTGCTGCAGCTCAGTATCAGCCTCTTGGTTTTGGCACCACTGGTGAAAAGCTTCTGAATATGAAGGAAGTGGCTGCTTTTCTCGGACATATCGGCAGCAAAACTTCATATAAGTAAATAATAACCCATAAAACAAAACTTTATTTTGAGTAATGGCTCTGGTTCATAATGATTTCAGGTGGATATGAAGTGGCAACCGGGGGACCATTGGCTTGGGGTCTATGCTACAACAAGGAGATGAGCCCCTACAAAGTGTACTGTGATGACTACTATAAGTATACCTATCCTTGTACCCCTGGAGTTTCATATCATGGCCGTGGTGCCTTGCCTATCTACTGGTATGTAATCTTAACAAAACTCGACTTTAGGGATCGATCGAGGGGTTGGGGATGGGATCATCTTCTGAAAATTTTAAATTCTCTTATAGTTTATATATTTTCTTTGCATTTCCTACTAATAATATAATTTATTGTAATTCTACACCCTAAAATTTAAATGGGTAAACTACGTAGTTAGTCACCTAACTACTACTTTGGTTCCGTTTTGGTCATATAACTATTTCTTTTTAAATCATACATAAAATTATGTTTTAATTTAGGGAAGAAAATAGACGGTATAGAAACTATGGATCCCACGAATTATTCCTCCTATGCTTGTAGGAACAGAGGGCGCGATGGAATTTTTTCAAGATCTTTTTTAATTATTGACAATGCACACATTCTGCAGAAGTAACTACTCAGACCCAATATCTCAAGTGAGAACGACACTTCCTTTAACCGTTAAATTCATTTAATGGATTCCATTTATAATAATTATTATCATTTTTACAAAAGCTTCATTGTTAAAGTAGTTCAAATATATATATATACACAAATGTCACGCCTTTAGAACTTTCAAACCCAAACTGTCGCAATATAATGGGTCAAGTCTGGTGGCCTTAATAAGCCTAATACTCCATCTTGAACTTTTTTGTTGGACACTTACACCAATATCTCGAGTCAGATATCATGACCCGTGACACACACATAATATAATTTATGCCACCTTAACAACTCGTTATTATTCTGCCATATTTAAAATTAATTTTATATAAAAATATAAATTAAATACAAGAAAATGTAATAAAAATTTAAGCATTAAAATAATTAATATGATGAAAATGAGGAGTCAAAAGCACTAGAAAATTCTGGCTATACATGCCACGTGGCGAAGTCATACCATTTAGATGATGAGATGAAAATGGTTGGTAGTGTCTTCTTGTGATGAAGAAAAAGTAAAATTCAATTTTGCAAATATAATTATATCAAATTAGGATAAGATGTCTTTTTCAGATCTATTTGTTGTTTCTCTGGATATGATATATATATATATCAAATTAGGATAATTTCAAAACCTTTCTCAAATTAGGATAAGTTGGGAAATTAGTTATTTATCCCACATTAGCTGCCATTTTCTTGAATTAAGTTGAGCATGAGATTCATAATACAAACATTGTTAATATTTCCATTTGTAAACTTAAGGTATTTTATAAGAATGATATTGTATAATTTATTCGTAAATTTCTTTAATACGATTAGAAGATTAGACTAAGATGTATCATATAAGAATATAATAAGATAGCGAACATTCTAATAATTTATAAACGTGATAATCCAATTAATTAATTATGTTTAATTCTCCTTCAACTTTAATAAGGATGTTGCTTAATTCTATTTATGAAACAACTAATTTTTTTCTTATTTGTAAAAATCATTCTTTTAAGCAAAAAAATTATAATAATTAAAATCAATGGATCATGGGATAGCTCAATTTAGAATACAAGGAATTTAATTGTCCAACAACTAAGTAATAGCTCGATTTTTCAACTGAAGGATAATTTAGAGAAATAATCATAAAAGTAGTTTCTTTTTATATTTTATTTTACATTCTTAAGGTAATAAATAATAAACTAAGAAGAAAAGTGATTTTTTGTGTTTGTTAGCGCATTTAGAATTTAAGGTTAAAAAGGTCTTATGGATGGATTGTTTTTATATTATTAAAATTATACTTATGCTATTTTATTATACTACAATAATATTCATAATATTAAATATAAATTTTAAAATATTTTTAATCTATTTTACCTAAATTTTAACACGTACATATATTTATATCATATTAAATATTATATTTTATATCATTCAAATAGCTCTTGATTTTGGATCACATACAAGATTAATGTTTTGTCTCATGTTGTATTATGTATAACTATTTTTTAATTTATCAGTAATTTCTAGAATCGATGGTTAAAAGTTATAAGTTGATATCACCCTTTCTTTTAAGGTGTAAGTTCATTATTCGTTAGGAGTAAAATTTCATTTCTCCTCTCTTTAAGTAGAAATTGTTAAAATAAAAATTATTTTTTAATTTATAATGTATACTTATGTTAAGTTAAAATTATTTTATCCAATAATATTATTTATATATTTTCAATTTAGTAACATGTATTGTATAATGATTTTGACATGAAATCTTATTATGTTAAAGTAAAATTTCTTTTTTTTTTCACAATTAAAATTTTATAAATTCATCCTTTATAATAACATAAACTATTGTATCCGTTCTTATCGTTAATCAGTGCCCGTGTCATCTCTAACAATGGAGCCGAACAATAAATTCCAGCCTGTCTCATCCTTAGCAAAATAACTTGGATACTTACTTTATTTTAATAAAAATTAACCATTTCACTCATCAAGAAAAAATGATTTAGATAAAATTCAACTTACTTTTCATTATTATAAAATTCAAACAAAACCTTCAACATAATAATAATAATAATAATAATAATAATAATAATAATAATAATAATAATAATACACGTGGCTCTACGTCCAACTTCACAGATAAATACTTTGGGTCTTCACAAATCAGCTTGAAATAGAAAAGTTCAGCATTTCATATTTTGTTCTACGAGAGGAAACAGAGAGAAACAAACAGAGAGGGTGTATCGACGGTGATGGAGATGAGAGACATCGACGACCTTCCAAAGAACGCCGCCAACTACACGGCCTTGACGCCGTTATGGTTCTTGGAACGAGCCGCTACGGTTCATCCGACGAGAAAAGCGGTGGTCCATGGATCTCGAACGTACACCTGGCTCCAAACTTACCAGCGCTGCTGTCTCTTGGCCTCAGCTCTTTCTAAACGTTCCATCGGCGTCGGTAGCTCGGTAATCAAACGACTTTCCATCGCCTTTCATTTCATCATTACTAACAGTTTTTTTTTAAATGTGAAACAATGAAATCTTTCAGCTTTTAATTCTGTTTTGTTTGTTTAGTAGTATAAAAGAGAACGAAATTAAAAAAGAAGAAGAAGAAGAAGATAATTCTTTTATTTTTTCATCGTCTCCTTTTAAATTTTTAATCAACAAGTATTAGTAGTATAACTACGATTGTAGATTTGATTAGTGTACCGGAGCCGGTCTAAATCCGGCAATCATTTTATAGTGTCATAATCATTTTTGATGTTGTTTCGCGTAATATTGTTTAAGATAATTTATATTATATAAATTTGGATACATGAATAATTTGTATTGTATTTTGTTTGGGTTCAGGTTGACATGTGATCGTGATTTAGCACGAATATATGATTTTCTATTAGGGGTGCGAACTTAGGAACTTGCATTAAAAATTTAGATGATGCAGAATTATAAAATTTCATAGAGTGTTATATTAGTTTATCAGTAAAAAATACAAAAAATACTTAAACTATAAGAGAAATTAAAATTTCTAGAGATACAACCGCATTCAATACTCCCTCCGTCTATCCCTGATCGTGATTAATATTGTTGGTCTTGCTTGCCCCGTGTTCTTGTTCTGTTAATCATTATGATTACGGTAGTATTAGTGAATTGATATGAGAAAGAAGCTTTAATGCTTGATTTGTTGCCCAGATTTGATATGGGAATTGCTAATTCTGCTAACCAGTTGTGTTTAGATTGTTTACGCTGACTGTTTTTATGAAACTTTAATGATGGTTCTATTGTTTGTATTCACTCTATGTATTAAAATTGGCAGGTAGCTACAATTGCTCCAAATGTTCCTGCTTTATATGAAGCTCATTTTGGGATTCCAATGTCTGGTGCTGTTATAAACACTGTCAATAGTCGCCTAAATGCCTCAACCATTGCTTTCCTTTTAGGTCATTCACAATCCACCATCGTCATCGTGGATCAAGAGTTTTTCAAGTTGGCAGAGGATGCTTTGAAAATCATGAAGGAGAAAAGCCAAGGTGATTTCAAGCCTCCACTCTTTATAGTCGTTGCTGATGAAAGCTGCGATCCAAAAACACTTACGTATGCTTTGGGACGAGGAGCCATCGAGTATGAGAAGTTCTTAGAAAGTGGTGACCCGGACTTTGCGTGGAAGCCTCCTCAGGATGAGTGGCAGAGCATTGCTTTGGGCTATACTTCTGGCACGACAGCCAGTCCGAAAGGGGTGGTATTACATCACCGAGGGGCATATCTAATGGCTTTGAGTAATCCACTTATATGGGGTATGAATGAAGGAGCTACATACTTATGGACTCTACCAATGTTCCATTGTAACGGTTGGTGTTTCACTTGGACACTGGCAGCTCTTTGCGGAACAAACATATGCCTCCGACAGGTAATTTCTACTCTGGATGATTACTTATTGGTTCTATGTGTGATTTTGTTGAAATTCTGCAATTGTTGTATATCGACTGAGACTTTGAGAGGGCTTTAATCTGATATAAACTGTGGATTTGAATGTTTTGCTTGCGCTTTACCTATGAGCACAGCTTGTTACTTACTGATGTCCTTATTCGCTTCTGTCGTACATGCATTGCAGGTAACAGCAAAGGGAATCTACGCAGCCATCTCAAAGTATAGCGTGACTCACTTCTGTGCTGCACCAGTGGTTCTCAATTCCATAGTTAATGCCCCACCCGAGGACACAATTCTGCCTCTCCCACATGTCGTTCGTGTAATGACGGCTGGTGCAGCCCCACCTCCTTCTGTTCTTGCTGCGATGTCTCAGAAAGGTTTTCGAGTGACCCACACCTACGGTCTCTCGGAAACCTATGGTCCATCTACAGTGTGTGCATGGAAGCCTGAATGGGACTCGCTTCCGCTTGAAACTCAAGCTCGTCTAAACGCACGTCAAGGTGTCCGATACATTGGTTTAGAGGGCCTAGATGTCATCAGTACTCAAACTGGTCAGTCCGTTCCCGCTGATGGAAAAACAATCGGTGAAATAGTTTTTCGAGGTAATCTCGTGATGAAAGGCTACTTAAAGAACACAAAAGCCAACGAGGAAACATTTGCTAACGGCTGGTTTCACTCTGGGGATCTTGGTGTGAAACATCCAGATGGTTATATCGAAGTAAAAGATAGGTCAAAGGACATAATCATATCCGGAGGTGAAAACATCAGCAGCGTGGAGGTGGAAAACGGACTCTATATGCACCCTGCAGTATTGGAGGTATCGGTGGTGGCAAGGGCTGATGAGCGATGGGGGGAGTCACCTTGTGCTTTTGTGACCTTGAAGCCTGGGGTCGATAAATCGAACAAAAAGCAGTTAGCGGAGGACATAATGAAGTTCTGCAGGTCCAAGATGCCTGCATACTGGGTTCCGAAATCAGTGATATTTGGTCCGTTGCCAAAGACATCTACCGGCAAGATTCAGAAGCATGTGTTAAGAGCCAAGGCAAAAAAGTTGGGATCCGTCAAGCTGAGCAAGTTGTAATTTGGTAAGTTGAAAACTAAATTATGAGGCATCAAATAACAACAATAATTATATAAAGCAAGGGATTGCTTTGATAGCTGTTGTAATTTATTAATAAAACTTGCACAGCAGATAATCTTACCATTCAAACAACACAACCATTTCAACCTCCAAATGTCTACAGTTATTGATTATCTACAGAAACATTAAACAATCAAAGTAAATTTTCATAACTTAGGGAACCAGTCCAAACAACAAGTAAACGCTATAGATGACAAATTGGCTCAAGAACATATATCGATACTTTTTTTCCTTCACCAGGCAAATGAATTATAATTCATTTTAATATTTAACGCAATAGAACAGGAGTGATTATGGATATCCGAATTACTACAACATCGTCAAATTGAGTTTGGATGCCTAAAATCCAATCACCAAGGCCATGGATTTGGGAGGAGACGGCAATGGAAGAATACCAATAACCAAAAATTGATATTCTCTCTCTTCTCTACACAACCGTGGGGTTTACCCCAATTTGACACCAAACTAACCATTTATCTTAATTGATAATTAGGCCTAAATTAGGCATAATAATGATACTTTGCATGAGATGACTATCCAACTTAGTTGGTAGAGCACAAGGTTCTTAACCTTGAGGTCGTGGGATCGAGTCTCATGGAGGGCATTTCATAATTTAGAGGTCTTCTACGGAAGTTGCTCTCCCCCTGATGTTGGGGGCAGCTTACTATCTTACCACTCCCTTATCTCATTGCATATGGGACCAAGAGACAACCATTTTTAATATGATACTTTGCATGGTGACTCGCTCTTCATAAAAAACTTAATTACCGTGCACAACTATAACTTTAATATTCTTATGAATTGGTCTTAATTTTTTATTTTTCAAGACTCACAATTTAATCATTTATCGGAATCGTTTACCTTTCAAATGAAAAATATTCGGATTTCAATGTGTGTACGTATCCACAATGAAAAAGTTGTTATTTGTGTTCGTTCATTTATTAAATGAACATAAAATTATATTCATGATTATTTAACTTAATAAGCTGACATAAATGGAAATTATCCAAATGTTCACGAACATTTCATTAGATGCTCTGTCATTTACATCCTTAATCATCCTCGTTTATCTTCTTCATCCTTTCTCCTTTTTAAGCTTTTCTAATTTCCTGAATGAGAGCATAAAAGCAGTTGTTGGGGTATTAAAATGCTGCTCTTTTATCTTTTTGAAAGCCGTCGTGGAACAAAGAAATAAGAAATACAGAGAGAAGGCGGTTGCAGAAGAGGCAAGGTTGAATCAAAAGATCAGTCAACTTTCGTCTTACGTGATAAAATATCGTTAAGAAAGAAGCTGAAAAATGGATGGTTACGGAGTTAACATCAATCAATCCATTTGTGTCGGTTGATTCGGTCTTGCACGTAATGAGAAAGTTCGTCTGTTTACTCCACATATTAATCACTTAATAATGTTACCACCTTTTGTTTCCTCAACAATCTTCTAACCTCGCTCATCAATTTCTCTTAATTAACATACGTATCAAACTTTAACTCTATTCCATTCATTAAATTGTACTTATTTTATTTTTCTTTGCACCGGGAGATATTTGGAAGTAGGTCGTCAAGAACTTCAACCTCCCTATATATAAGTTAATCTATAGTAAAGTACACATAGTTTCCAACAATATGGTGTTGTTTTATTGAATTTATTGATTATTTTTTTATTAATATTAACTATTAAAAGTTACAAAGTGATCCTCTGATTATAGGATGTTACTTTGTCCATTAAAAGTTACAAAATGATCATTCAACTATTCATATACTCCAAACTCGTCATTTTCTATTAAAAATTTGACGACAATCTGAGCTGGAGGTTAACATGTTAACTGAGATATGCTAAAACTTGATCTCATAATCTCAAACGGTTATCATATCTTAGTCATCATGTTAATGTTCAGTTCAGATAACTGTCAAATTTTTACCGAAAATGACAAGTTTGGAACATATGAATAACCAGGTGATCATTTTGTAATTTTTAATAGTCTAGAGACTCAACAAAGCAACAATTTATAATCGGAGGACCATTTGTATATTTTATCTATTAATCTAATAAATGAAATTAATTGGATCTTAATTTTAAAATTTGTGATTAAGACTGAATCTTTGCGTCTGTAGCTTCATATTGATCGTTAAACATATCGACATGATAATACTTGAATGATTGAATTTTTTCTTTCTTTCCAAAAAACATCAAAGATTCAAAAAAAAAATATTGTTCAACATACAAACTAACATAATTTTCAAGATTTAAATCAACGCTCGGATTTTAACTAAAAAATTTATGGCGTTACAGTGCATGTCGTGCACTAATTTAACCTCTTTTATTTGTAATTCAATATCAAATGTTTGTCCATTTTTATCATTACTTTTTGCACTATTATTCGTCGTCATAAAAAGTGTTGTTAACCATGTTTTTGAAGCCTCCATCTAGACAATACACTCTTTTTATGTACTAATTTTAGATATTATGGAGTGATTAAATTTTCTCCATGCATAATTAGTTCTCAAATTTGATTATGATTTTGATGTTTTAATCGCGAACCAAATTCAATGGTATTCGATTATATTTAGCCTAAAATGGTCGAGAGTGACTTCAACCATGTGATGAGCTCTTGAAATACTCAACATATTTGAACCACTGCATATGATGACCAATTTTTTTTTTAAATATTCGATACAATGAATATATGACCTAGGCCCCTTCTTATCTATAAATTTTAGGATATAGAACATTTAGACATAATCGATCTCACCTCAATTGTGTCAATAACAATGACACTCAACCGACTTGGGTCTGTTTGTTTGGCTATAATTGGTTTTTCGAAAAATGAATTACTGGAATTTGAATTACTGGAACTGGAAAATAAATTACTGGAATTTGAATTCTGGAAAATGAATTACATTTCTGAAAAATGTTTTCCGAAAAATGTTTTCTGTAAAATGAATTACATTTTTCTGAAAAACATCTGGAAAATATTTTATGATGTTTGGAAGATGTTTTTTAAATCTTTTTTTCCACTAGTTGAAGAGTTTTTTAAAAATTATTTATTACAAATATTAAATATAATAAATAATATTATTTATCATAAAACTTAATATTATTTTAAAATATTAAAATAATTTATTTATTATTAAATATTATTTGTATAATTTTATTAATAAAAATATTAATTTTTGTATATATTAGTGAAATAAAATATTATAAATTATATTAATTATTTATTAAAGTAATAGTGTTATATTATATTTTAAAAATATTAATTAGTATATTTTAAATATCTTTATTAAAATATTATTTAAATATATAAATAATATTATTCATTATTAAATATATAATTTTTTTATTATATATTATTAAAATAAAAATATAATATCTTATATTATTATAATATAATTGATTATTTTATATAATATTAAAAATATAATATTATATTATTATAAATATTAATAACTAAATAAATAATATTTTGATGAAAATGATATTAAAATATTTTATTAATATTAAATTCATAAAATACAATTATTTTGAGTATTTATTCTTTGAAGTGAAAAGTTCGGAAAATAACTTACGGAAAATGAATCCGTAAGTCATTTTACAGAAAACGCAAAGGAAATTTTGTTACTAAGAAAATGAATTACGTTCCGGAAAACCAATTACGTGAAACAAACACGAGGAAACATTTTCCGGAAAACAAATTACGTGAAACAAACACGGGAAAATATTTTCCGAAAAACGAATTACGTGAAATAAACACGGAAATTCGGGAAAAACCAATTCCGTAATTCCAATTACGACAAACAAATACACCCTTAGTGTCAATATAATTAATTTATAATAAATCACATATTTATAATAAACCCATTTAAAATATTTGATTTTAGATAACAAATTAGTGGTATGTCATTTTGATGGAGATAGATAATAATATCAAATATTTATTTTAATAAAATATATGATTATATGGATCCAATTATATAGATATCGATATATTTATAGACCAAAAATTATATCTAATGTAAAATAAATCCAAACCTAAATATATCTGGCCCAAAAAGGTCCACATGACCCATCCGATTGCCACTTCTACTTATCACCATAAATGATTGTCTTAATTAAAGAAGGTGACAACTCCATCATCAATGGACTCTAATGATATTTAATTTCCTTTTACTGTAAAATCCTAATTTATTGTTGGTAAAGTATACAAATGGGCCCTGACTATAGGATACTACTTTGATGAGTCTTTCTATAATACCCCAAAAATTATGGTTAGTAACCAAAATGAATAAATTGAAAGTTTGATGGCTAAAGTATAAACTTGAAGAAGTTTAGGGACCAAAGTATAATTTTAAAAAGTTGTGTAACCTAGTCCCGTAAATGAATAGTTTACCCCAAAAAAGACGTTTTCGTGGATTTCAGATTTTTCGTGTGGAGTTTGTTTCAAAAGTTATAAAGTGTTAAAGTTCGAGGAAAATTCAGATAATTGGATCGACCAAAAAAGTTAGGAAATTTTGCTAGATGAAAAAGAAAGGGCAAAAATGTCTTTTTCATACTTTAAAATGATAAGATTTAATATGGACCATTGGATTTGAGTTGATTTCCATGTTGAATCTTAGCCATTGGATTAAAAAGATAAGATTGTAATTTTAGAACTTTACAAGGGTAAAGTTGTAAACTACTAACTTCATGGATTAATTTCAGCCCTTGAATGATAAATTTGATATGTGGCATGATTAGGATCATTAGATTTTAAGGTCGTAAAGTTATTTTGGACTAAAATGAATTTTAAATTCATTTAGGTTATAAAATCCAAAAAAGGACTAAATATATATAAAAATCAACAGAGTTCTTGAATTGTTGTTGCTGCCGTGAGTTATAAACAAACATATAGATAAATTTTTTATTTTGATGTTTAAGCATTTTGAGTTAGATTTAAGGTTAAGACATGAAATTCAATTTTATTCTCCATTAAATCCTCTTTCATTTGGTACTATTTGTTCATGTTGTTCATGTTTATAACCCTAAATATATGAAAATGG